TCTCAGCCAATACTACATTTGTCCTCAACTTCTATCTTGAATAAATTTATTTTTTTAGGAATACCCTGTTCATGAACGGCGATCTTAGGCCATCTCCAACCCTGTACCAAATTTTGTACCATTTTGCACCAAATTTTACACCAAATCTTGCACCAAACTAAAATTTATCTCCAATCATTATACCAAAAGTTACACCAGATGAACATTGTTTAACCATTTTCTTCCTTTTTTTTATTCTTTATAATTTATTTATTTGAAATATTATTTATTTAATTATTTTATAAATACATAAATTACTAAATAAATAATTACGTTAAATTATGGAAAAGATTAAATTCATTAATATATATTAAAAAACATGGAACAATTAATAAAAACACTACAACAACGAAAATATGAAATCAAATTAGATTATCGTATGTACGTCGTTGTTTAATATATTTCGTGTTAACTTTTATAACTAATCGTGTTTGTTGTATTTTAAATTCTTTTCGGCTTTTAATTAATTTATTAATTATTATGTGTTACATTTAAAATTTATTTTAAATGCAAATAATAATATTAATAAAAAAAATAATTTATTATATTGAAAAATATATAGTACAAATGACATAAATACATTTAACAAATTTATTTGAAAAATGTTAAATAAAGACAAAAGAAACATTTTACACTTTGCACCATTTTGCAACAAAATGATGCAAAGTTTGGTGTTGCATTGGAGCAACTTTGCACCAAAAAATGGTGCAAAATGGTGCAATCATTGGAGATGCCCTTAAGACGATGAAATCTCATGTTGAGTAAGTTTGGTACTACACGAGATAAATAGTAAGGTACCACGGATTTTAACATTTATCGTTAAATATTTTTATTTAGAGGGTCAGACTCTATCAAGAAGTCATTCTCCTCAAAGTAATTTTATCGTGTATGTCATCACTAGCTTCAAATACTTTGTTGAGTTTCAAGAAATGGTGAGTTGCAGGAAGTGAAGGGTTCAGTGGCTAAGTTTAGTAGCAAGTTAATGGGCTTTAAAAGATCAAATCTTCAAGTACTCCTAGTTAGTGGGGGTCCAATTTTTTTTGGGACCTGCTCGATAATGATCATAAAAATTGATTTTTTGACCGTTAAAGAGAAGAGTAAGTTTTGTTTGTGAATGAAAATGTAAAAAATGATGGCTAAAATAGTGAACTAACGATAAAAAATTTAATTTTTTGGGGATGAAAAATTACTAATAAACGAGGGCATAATTTGGGGATACGAATTGTCAATGTTAGAATAGTGTAAATAATATCCTTTCATGTTATCTTATCATTAATGATGGCTTTCTGTTTTTTTGTGACAAATTCATCAAACTTGAAAGAAAGTGATGACGACTTGAAACCAAATGAAATGAAAGTCATCCAACTTGCAGAAGCAAAATAATAATGCTATTTCGTCCATCGCGTGGATTAAAATTAATTTTTTAATGAGTTTTGATGAGTTGATGAATTTAAAATTGTAAATCACTCCTCTAGTAAAAGAGGCAATCCCAATTTAATGTTCATTTGTGAGTTTATTCTCACAATTCACTGTTCTTCTCACATTGGTTTTATATGATTTTATATTCTTGCATATAAAAAAAGTAGATATAGAAAACGGGAATTAATGCCCCGTTTGGTAGGGATTTTGAGAATTGATTTTTTGATCGTTAGAAGAAAAGTGGGGTCCACACGTGAGAGAAGAAGTCAAAAATTACGGCTTGAATAGTAAAATAATGGTCAAAAAATCAATTTTTTGGGGCAAAATATCCCTACCAAACGGGACCTAAGTCTTCCATACACTTCCTCTTCAACCCTAATTTTCACTTGCTCTCTCACCACCTCTTCCACCGACCACCGTCAAATCGAACCAGGTCGACGCTGACGAGAGTTGAGAACAGCTTCCATGATTTATTGAGTTTTACTTTCCCTACCCTTTCCCTTTTCCTCCTTTCATCTTGGAGATTTGAGTTCCCAAAATTCTAGCAATGCTACATCCAAGAAATTGTGGAAAAATGAGTGCCGGTAGAGACATCAGAAGCAGAAGAAGAACAATAAGGAATCATAAGCCTCAGCCGTTGGAGATGACAGGGACACTACAGACGAGGATGGGTGTTTTTTCAAAAACTCGAAAAGCACTTCTTGATTTCTTTCAAATTTTATATAAATCCCTCTTCATCTATGTAACCCACTATTGAAATGGAAAGCTTAGCAGAAAACCTCGTCTTGGAACTGAAAGAAGAGGAAACCCATAAGAAACTAGGAGATGGAGCAAATGGGACAGTATGAATAGGATGAAACGACACTGAAATACCTGATCAAGAGTACATGGAGGTTGATTTTGATTCTTGTTAGGGCAAAAAGTGTAATTAGCGATTATGTGGACAAAAGGATTAAATTGTAAATTTTTAAAAGTTAGGGACTCAATTGTACAATGTTATAAAAGGCCGGGATTTATGGTGCAATTTAGCAAAGCTAGATGGTAGGGACTAGGGTTTGAGTGCTAGGTTCAAATCAAGGTCGCGGTGCCGGAAGTTCGCTAGCTGTTCGCCCTGTCACCGCTCGAGCGAGGGGAAGTAGAATGATAGTCACTCGCTCGCCGCTCGATGTTCGCTCGAGCGAAGTTCCGTCGCTCGCTCTCTGCTCGCTTTTCGCTCGAGCGATAGTGTTATTGGAATATTGTATTTTCTATTTCTGGAAAGTTTGACACGGTTTAGGACTCCAAATTGCCCCTAACTATAAATACAAAAGTTGTGAACGAATTTCAATAAGGTTACTTTATTATGCTTTCATATTAGAAGACATTCATATCATTGTGAAGAGATCTAAGAACACAACCAACTGGAGAATTCATCAATCTTGTTCTTGTGATCCGGCAACCAATATTTTGGGAAAAAACATCAAGTTTTTGAAGACAAAATACCGGTACTTCTCCATCTGTTGAGGAAGGAATTCTCTCAAAGGGAGATTGAGGGAGGTAGACGATGAACCCAGGAACTGGACAAGAACATGAGGTTTTTGAAATTCCACTTGGTGATACAATCAGCTAAAGACCAGGAGGCTGTATTGGACAGCAAATTGGGTTGCAGGAGGTAGATCAGGAAGTTAGCAGGAGACTAGTAGTATCAACGGTAGTAGATCGTGAGATTGGAGCAGCGAATCTCACTGGGTATGGAGTTTGGCAGAACTTGTACTGTCTGAATTGGTATAGTGGAACTTATTGGCTTGGTCCCGGAGTTTTACCCACGTTGGGGTTTCTTCGTCATCATATCGTGAGTTGTGTTTTGTAATATTTTATTTACTTTACGCAAATCCGTAGTTCAACATAGGAATTAACTGGACTGTATGTTTAATCACCTAGACAATTAATTAAAGTGACGTGTTGCTTTGATTAATCAATTCTGCAGTGAGGTCGAATAATAAATTTATTGGAACGTAAACTTGGTAATATCTAAAACTTGAATTTGACGTAGTAAAGCGTTCTCGTGAATTTTCAAGTGGTTGTAGAACGTTCCTAGAACTTTCAAGTCTAAAGCTAGACTGAACTTGATTCTGACTCTAAAGTTAAGGTATGTTTCTAGGTTTATGAGTGTGCGTGCGTGTATTCTTGCGTATATGTTTTTATGAATGTGTGTGATGGCATTTGATTTTATTTGGGATTTAAATTGCAGGAATTGGAAGATATGAAGAAGAAATTGCCTGTGATGGGTTGATTTCGTGATATTTGTATATTCCAGTGGTTTAAGACTTTTAGATGAATAGATAACATCCTACTTTCTGTTTCAGTGGCTACAACATTAGTGAATATGGAACTTATTTAGCAGATACCTCACAAAAGGCTATAGGATAGTATTTCTGTTGTAAATTCATTTTCCTAATGAAATTGACTCCTTTGACACATATTGGATTGTTGACAAGTAAAAATTTAATGCATCATTGAAGATTTTGATATAAGAAAAGATAATTGTGAGAACTTACAATAGGGGACTATCTAAGGCAAAGTGAAGTACTAAAGTTCCTAAATTAGCAACGATACATTTTAAAAAGTACTACTTTGATAACATGAAGACCTTTATGAATTTATAATTGCATGAGAACTACATGAAAAACCACAATATGCTCCTGAGGTAGGCGTTATACTTGTTACCTAAAGTAGGTAGCGCATTGATGAATATGCTCTTAATTGTCATTGACCTTACTGAGTAAAATTTTCAATTTATTAACATTTAATTTTTTCACTTTCTAATCTTTATCTAAAAATTCTACCATTCCTTTTTTTACTGTTTTTGTTGAGGTTCTGCACGTATTGCAAATTGTAGAAAATACAACCATTTGAAAGGATCGATTTGTGTCTTCTCTTGACTATCAATTATTTTATTGTGTTCTATGCTGTTTGACGTTGTGATTTTTCTTCTTTTTTGTTGCTAAATATCATTGAAATTTGAGATTGATGATTGTTCCTTTGTTGTCTATGTGTTTCTATTTACTTTCTTCATTTTGCATCAGTTTGCTTTCTATAAGAATCCTATTGTTCTCTAAAATCTTCGGTTTTAATCGTTGATATCGTTTGTCTAACTATGGAGCACATGAATTTGGGAATTATTATTTGAATTTATAATCGAGGATATAATTTTTTGATGTTATTTAAAGCTGCGGTCTTCACAATGAAATGACCCCTATTTGCAGCATTTGTGTTACTGATTACAATTTTACTTTGGTTATAATATAATGATATACTTCAAGCCAGGCTTTTCACATTATCTTCGTCTCATTTTTTTTCCTCCAATGATTGCTTAAATAGGTGGATCTTTGAATCTATTCAATAAGAGAGCCCTTAATTTTTTTGTAAATATGGTCATAATTAGCGCAAAAGGAAGGATCGCCCCCATAATGATAAACCATTTGCTTTCAGGATTCCCTTGTGCTCAATTATTGACAAATGTACAAGCAGCAATTCAATAGAAAAGTAAGTTTAATTCTTGAATTTTCTACCTTTGAAGAAACTTTGAGATTATTTATCACTACACATTTTTGCACGTTTCCTTTTTTCAAATTTATTTTATTTGAGTGTTTTTATTGCTACTCGTCAGATTTTTTAAATAGTTGTACACACTTTGTAATTTTAGTAATGTCCACCTGGTCTTGGTGTAGGCTTCTCAGTGATTTCCCAAAGGTAATTTATTTTTCCTTAAACTAGATTTTTAAATATTTTTTGTATAAAGGGGCGGTCTTCGTATACTTTATTTGGATTTGTTGTTACTCGATTTATTAATTTTGTATTTTTATTGTTGAATATTAATTCTATTGTGGGGTTTTAAAATGGAGGGAGTAAATGCTTTTGTCGTTTAATTGCATAACCCAAGTGTTTCAGTTTGTACTACCATTTTCTCTGTGGGTTCAAGAAAATACACCAATCATTTGATCCTGAAATCAAACCATTACTATAATTTTGTGTTTCATAAGGTGTACTCAAGTATTGCTTCAGTTTCAACTTGACCAAAAAATCTTTTTTCTGGTGCCAATAATATAGAGTTTCTGAAATCACTGTGAATCTTTTCTAATATATCAACCTTTTGCTTTTCCATGACCGTGGTTATGGGTTACATAGAAAAAAATTGTACCTGATGCTTCAATTTTGTCAGCTTTCTCAAACTTGAGGCAACATTTATCATGTTTGAAGCTTTCATCTCGGGCCTTTACTTAAATTCACCAAGGGAATGAGCTAAATCTGTTAATGAAGATGATCTGGATGTCAGTTCGGCTATAAAATTCAGGTATAAAGAAGCTATTGATGTTGAAGCGGCCAGTAAGGTACTCCCTCTTGACAGCCATTTAGACTCTGACATAGAGGCAGGCAACTTCAACCTTTTGGATGAATGATTTGCTTTGGCCTCAATCATTTACATAAATATTTTAAATTTCCACAAGACACCAGATTTTATGCCCTAGATAATGGTTTTCTTTTCCTTTTTAGCAATTTCTTTGATTTTTTAGCATTGAGTTTTGAAAGGGCTTGCAGTTGAGGTTTGAATAAAGACTAACAACTTCTTCAGCTTTTATGTGTAAATATGTATACTTGTAGTATTTGTATCAGTGTATTTTCCTGTCTTTTCTATTTTTTTGTTGATTTTCACCTTATTCAGATTAAGTTCATCTCTATTATTTATCTGTAACTCTTTTTTTTTTTTTTTTTTTTCTGTTTAGTGATTCAGACAAATATGAATAACAATATTTGCCTACTTCTATTTAGTTTTTCTATTTTAAAAGATTACCATATAAGTCTTTCAAGCCTGACACGTGTATAGTATTTTTATTGCTCGTGGCTGTTTCAAAACCTTCATTTAATGAATTACTTTTGGTTCTATGTGAAAGGGTATTTCTGTTGTGGGATGGATTTTAATGTTGTTTCTCACTTAATCGAAATTGTTTTTTTTTTTTTTTTTTTGATATCCAAGTATCCCAACTTACATCAGATTAAATCCTGGACCTCCAAGACCCATGCCCCTAGAACTTTGGAGGGGGTAAATCGCGGGTTATGCCTCAATTGGATCACAGATTCCCCCCATTGACTGTACACTTCTACGCACAAGAGACCCTCATCCACAGTGATTGCTCCATACCAAATTTTTGGCTGCAGGTTCCCACCAGGAATCGAACTCTCCACCCTGCCGCTGGAAGCAAGCCAATGTTGATTGATCCTCCAGTTGAGCTATGCCCCGGGGGGCTGAAATTGTGTTTCCTTTGCCCTTTGTTGAATTTGGTTTCGGTTGATGGAGCAAAAAAAGGAGAACAGTAAAAAAATGTTGAGCATCAAAGAACATGAACAACCATTGAGGTTCCTCAAACCTATCAGGTTGTTGTTCCAATACGGATTAACCATAATTGGCAGGTAAAAGGAGGTCTCAACGGAGATGATGGTCAAAATTGGTGAAACTGAAAAGCATGGAATAAGGGAAATTCAATAGGATATGTTGATATACACGATCTAATTGTAACTTATAAAACACGATGCATGTTGGACAGCCATTTTTGAGAGCTTTTGTTCATGAGCGTAGACATTAGCTTAGTCATCAGCACGTGTGATTGACTACATGGGCATAGTTTGGGAATTCCATCTCAAAAAGGTAAATAATTTATTGTATTTTTCTTTACCCCGATATCATTTCTTTGACCACCACGTGCTCGAAAATAATTGATTTCTTGTTGTGTATAATGAGAATTCAACATTTGAGGTTATGATCTTCCATTTGTTGGCTGTCGAATTTTCATATGAGAACATCTATGAGGATGATGAAAAAACTTCCTCTCTTGGCAATTCTTCTGTTCAAGTTAAGCTCGAATGAAGACTTGATACTCATAAAATGATTATTAGTTCTGATTTCTCTTGTGGTGCACTAAAGTACGTTACATTTATTGGCCACCTTGGCTCGAGTATTGCTTCCATGTAACCAATTTGCCTTGATATTGCTGTACATGCTACGCGTTATAACTCATGAGATCACATGCTTTTGATGCTTTAATAATTAAAGTCTTTCACCGTATTGGTACTATGAATAATTTGGGTTTGATACTTCCAAGTGCTTTATTATTTCATCATTTTCTCCTCCTTACTTTTTTTAATATCGAAAGTTTCATGTCAATTGTCTCTAATTTGTGTTATAGGTATCCATTTTACCGGCACAAATTGTTATCAAAAAAGATTGGGTCCCTCATTGACATCCATCATGACCAAATACCCACCCTCAACTCATGTCCCTGATATGAGCACTTCATTAAATAAATGATTATATGTTTGAAAACACATCAACATGTACCAGCTCTAAGTGTAATATTTTCTACATTATCTTGCATTATTTTGTAAGTGGCGTTTTTTCATCATATGGGCTTCCTTTCACCTTTTTTTTTTTCAAAACATTTATCTAGGATGTCTACCTATTTTTTCAAAAACAAATTAATATTTTTCCAAATCTTAAATTTAGATCATTTAAAATTCGACCTTCTGATTTCTTGTCACTGGGCATCCTTTTTGCCAAAACGTTAATTTGGAATGTCTACTAATTTTTTCCTCTGAATTTTTTTCAAAAAAATTAAGATTTTTTTAAATCTTAAATTTAGATCATTTGAATTCTGAAACTTTTATTTTCTTGTTGCTTTAGTTATCAGGAATGTGATCTTTTCTTAGTTGCATTGGAGGCACCCTTCATAAATATGTACTTAAGTTTGTGTTTGCATATTAATTGAAACAGTAAATTTTAACTTGTTGGGAATTTACTTAAACATGCACAGCCGAAATAAACAGTTTCAATTCCCACCAGGATTCAACTTTGTATTTAGATAAGAACTATGATGAGAAATATACCTTTTTCTTGATTTTGCAAACTCCTTTGTATTATTCTTTTCCAGCAATTTGAATCTACCTCCCACAACTGTCCAATTGTCCAGCCTCCAATAAAATTCACACAAGGAATAGACTGCAACTGTTAGGGTTTTTCCTCTTGTGCCATCAAGAATAATGAAAACCTTATGAATCTTAAACCCTAGCCATGTATTTATATAAACCCAAACGGACTTGGCCCAGTCTGGTCCAATATTTAATTAATCCATTTAATTAAATTCATTCCGTGAATTAATTAATCCAATTAATTAATTCGGGGCTATAAATAACCAATCAAATTAATTAATTTTATCCAACGATTGGATGAATTAATTAATTGACGATTTGCAATCTTTTAATTCTCTTTTGTGTGCGACTCATTAGGTTTCCGACCACGATATCTAACGACGTAAAATATTATTTTGATCTAATCAAAACTGATAAATTAAATTTATCACAAATTCACACTCGTCGTCCCAGATTGACATCTAGCAATGTATCAGAGCAATACATGTAACGGGAAATGTCACGTGGTATGACAAAACCAAAACTGTTCGTTTACCATGAAACTATAATTCCTTCGTCAATATGATTCGATCAACTATGAGATATGGAAGTCTGTCAATCTCGATTATCGATCATATCTTTCATTCTACTATTAAGCCAATATTAGTCGAAAATTCCTTTTCAATATATATGTATACATTGACCAAGGATTTCGTTATTGACTTAATTGAACGAAATGCAGATCACAATCTTTTACTATCTAAGAGTGACAAATCCTCTATTGGTCATTTACAACCTTCATATGGTTCTTGACATACCCGAACGATGTCGAATTAGCGGCCATTGACAGAGCAACATCCAACACCGTCAAAGCATGACTGTCTTCATACAAGGCACTATGATTACCTCAAGTCATAGGACCAATTCCACTACCGAACGTTAGAGATTAACCACTGACACTCAAATAGTTATCCATCTAGAATCTCTTAGCGGGTCTCTAATGTTTTGTTCTATAACAAAACATCCACGTATTCATTTAAGTGTCACCACACTTTAACTCATGAGATCAGCTACTTACTTCACAAGTAAGAAATATCACACGCGATGGTCTAACTGCATTAACGATATCCGTATCTCGTCATTACTTACGACCATGATTTATTCAAGCTCCAATTATACGTAATTTGTATCTCACAATCACAACTCCTTGTGATTAACAAATCACTTAAACTTGGATCTTCGAATTCTATTATTTAATATTATTTATCACAAAATTAATTTAAATAAGTAATAGATCTTGCCAAATTAAATGCATTAAACATATTAAAAGTGTTTACAACCTAAATCGATTGGATTTAGGGCATAACACTTACATAACTTTTAGGTGTTTCCTATTTTATATAAATTTGTTTTTTCTTTTAAAAAAAGAAATTAAAATTGCACAATAACGGGGGTAAGTCCAAATTGTAGGGATCAATGTCAATTGATGTGTCATATATTAAAACAATGTTAGTCGATGTGAGCTTCGCATCCAATCATTTTCCAAAATATAAATTAGGACTGGATAATGAGATCTTAGACAAGGTGAAAGAGGATTTTAAGGGTCGATCCCATAAGGAAGTGGTTGTTGAAGAAATGAACCAACTAAGTAGCCAAGAGGCCTTCAGTTCACGACCTGGTGAGTAAATTCGACAAAAAACTATCTGCTGATACAAAATTGTCTAAAGAGGTCTTAATAAATTTATATTTTCGATTTATATCACAGTTGAAGTTCTAAAATTACATATGCGAAAATCAATTTCTTTAATTTTTAAATGTCAGTGTTTATATAGTCCTTTAATCTAGATAGTTTCTAAATAGATAGGAAGTTGGACTCTATTTCTCCTATCATTTCATTTCTCATTGGATGAGATTTGATGACTCGATGAATTGTTAAATTCTTTTTGGACTTTAGGCTAAATTGAGAAAGGTGCCTTCATTGGAAAGACATGTTCTTCTAAAAAAGCTTAGGGATGCATTGGGATGTTTGAAAGGACAACTTTAGGGTTGTAACAAAAAAGATCTGGAAAAAGCTATTTCTATGTTTAGTATCTTGTTCAAACCAAAGTTTTTAAAATGATTTTCTTTATTGCTAGCTATTCGTTATATGGGCTATTTCAAATTCCTGTCTACCTTAAATATGTTTTATATTTACCTATTGTCAGTATTAATTGGGAAAACCCAAGAATGCATTACATTTTAATTTATTTCATTATTTTGAACATAATGCAAATTTAAGATTCATTTAGCACTTTCTTCTACATTGTTAGATATCCTTTGGCTCTTTTCGACATTTTCAAAGCCAAAGATGCATTGCGATTTTACTTATTTCAGTTTGGATTTTTTTTGGTTTTGTAGGTTGAAGCTTTAGCAGTGAAAGGTAATCCAGATTTATTTCAACAATGAGGCTTTTGAAGCTGATAAACATGATGAATTTCTGAAAAGTAAGTTGTTCGAGATTTGGAGGGATCTTCCTTTATATGATTAAACTTATTTTGTATAGGTCAGTGATAACAAGTGAACTTATTCTCAATAGACAGGTTATCCAAAATAATTAGAAAAATGTATTTTTTTTTTTTTTAAGGATAAGGAGGTGTTATTAAAGTCATCATTGGATCTTTAACAAGTTGGAAGAGGCCTAGGACCAATGCATGGAGTTTTATAACTAATTCTTGTAATAGTTTATGAACTCCGGTCTCTTCGACATTATTGCAATTATTTTTAAATTCTATTTTTCTTTGAGCTTGCTGTACATGGTCAGATCGTAGCCATTGGAATAACATGGTCACCTCGTAATCTGGGGATTGAAGCAGTTGGATATTTTTTTTTTTCTTTGTTGTAAAATATTTCATTTCAGCAAGTTTGATCTTCAAAGCAGCTTGGTCTGAAAAATGCACTAAATGTTATAGCCTGATCGCATTTTGCAATGCTTCTAGGGAGTCTCACGATAGCTTGAAATAATTTTGCGATCAATTTATTGCTTTTAGTCCTTGAGACACTGATGAATTTTTAATCATGTCTCTCAATATACTTTTACTCTATTCTTTGCAAGTCTAATAGAGTAGATTCCAATTAATTAATGACAATATAATCTATTTCAGGATATGAAGATGCTGCTGCACAAACTCAACGAACCCTTGCCTATTTAAACTTCACCCGGAATTTGATATTTAGCACAGTGCTCTTTGCAGCTATATAATTCTAAAGTCCCTTCTCTATATAATTCTAATAATACCTGTCTCATGTTGATGTTATAAAGCTTCGATGACGATTAAAAGAAACTTGAAAGTTTTTTTTTTTTTTTTAATAATCAATATCTACTTCTTCGATTGTTGCCGTAAGTCTAGGTCAAATGTACAAAGCTCGGTTGAAGTACTCTGGCCAGGTTGTTGCTGTGAAGGTACAAATACCTTGTATTGAAGAAGCTATAGGGCTGGATTTTTATCTTATAAGTTTAGGTTTCCTCATAAATAAATATGCTGAAATAATTACAAGTGATGTTATTGCTCTTATTGACAAATTTCCTTGGATAGTTTACCAAGAGCTCAATTATGTGCAGGTTTCTAACTTTTCCTAAATTTACCTTTCCTTAAAAGAGACAATCCTAAGATCACTGCTCATTTTTGCCACCCTTGTTTTAACACTAGAACTGGTTTGGAGTTTCCTTCTTTTTTTAATGCATAAAACGAGTTCTGGGTTCTCCTTGATGTTGTCTCTTGTACTTTTCAATTTTGATTCACAATCCGAATTTCAAAAATTTCTTGAAAATGGGGTTTTGGAAGGATATGTTAGAAAAATAAACATGCATTTAACCTATTTAATTTATTTTCATGAATTTAGGAGTTTGAAATACATGTATTATTAATTAATATGCATCTAGTTAATTGTGGTTCATGTATGTATGTATTATTAATTAATGTGTACATAGTAAATTGTGGTGCATGTAGTAGAATTAAATTGAGGGGATAAACTTATGTGATAGGAAGTCCTATAAATACCTATGTAATCTTGAGTTGAAGGCAAATCCACAATTGAATAGAAAATCATTTCCTCCTCCTAAGTCCACTTCTATTTCCTACAAAGTGGTATCAGAGCCACAATACTAGAAACCATGGCAAATGTCAACATGATCCCCTTCCAAGTTCCAAAACTATCCAAAGAGAAATTTGATAATTGGTGCATCCGCATGAAGGCACTACTTGGTGCACATGATGCATGGGACATCGTGGAGAATGGTTATGAGGCTCCCATCGATCTAGCTGCGCTCATCCAAGCACAAAGGGATCTTTTACAAAGCACTAAGAAGAATGATCAAAAGGCTGTTTCTCTTATTCACCAAGCATTGGATGAGACCACTTTTGAGAAGGTTTCTAATGTTACTACAGTAAATCAATTATGGGATATGCTTCAAGTTGCCTACAAAGGAAAGGAGAAGGCAAAGAAAGTTCGCCTCCAAAATCTACAAGGTGAATTTGAAGCTATTCAAATGAAGGAATCCAAAAAGGTGTCGGATTATATTTCAAGAGTGGTGACCGTAGCAAACCAAATGAAGAGGCTTGATGAAGATGTGACTGATTTAAGGGTGATTGAGAAAATCCTTAGATCAGTTACTGAGAAATTTGATCACGTGGTAACTGCCATTGAAGAATCAAAGGACATCGAAGATATGACAATTGAAGAATTATGCGGATCATTGAATATGAAGACAAGCTTAATCGAAGAAGGAAGGAGCCATTGGAGTAGGTTTTGCAATCAAAGCTCACATTGAAAAACAAGGAAG